ATCTAAAAATAATCAACCTACGTAAGACGCAATGCTTTTGCAGAAACAACTTTCCTCTCCGTTCAACGATGAAAATATTCTCGTCAACCCGAGAATGGAGAATGTAAAAAGAGAGAGAGAGAGAGAGAGAGAGAGAGAGAAAATAAGAAGGAAAAAGAAAGGAAGAAATAATCGGAGCGCCATCGATTTGACGTATCTTTTAATTCCTTCTGGCGCAATTTATTACCTCAGTCGAACTGGTTTGGAAATTGTGCGTCACCATAAATGCCGGCCTTGTCTTCGAATTACGAAGGGTACGTCGACTCTGCTTAAGGTGGAACAAAGGCAACGAGTCGGCTATAAGGTCATTGATTAAATCTACCGCTTAATTTCACCTGACAATCCCTCGCCGTTATCACGGACGTATCGAGACGACGAAGGAATGGTGTTACATTGTACGTACGCGATTTACACGTGAGTGTGAGAGTAAAATTGTCCGTGTAGAATTAAACAAGAAACGTGTAGAATTAAACAAGAAACGTGTAGAATAATCGTTTAATTAATTTTAAACGCGTATGATCGACGTGACTATTATTATTATTATTATTATTACGTATATAAAAGAAGAAACATTTAAATTAATATTCCTTTTTTTTTTTTTTTTGAAAATTCACCGATCTTGAATAATTCGATATTGGAAAAAAATCATTAATAAGTTTATAAAATTATTTATGATAAAATATAAGATTAATCGGTGTAAAGAGATGTATTTATTGTAAAATCTGATAAGAATGAAACTCCTGTTCATTAAAAAAAAAAATCGTTGTCAAGTATCGTATCGTTGTCAATGAATATTTTCGATGAATGGATAACAATCTTCGATGTTTTAGTTTTGATAGTAATCTAAACTATCTAATTTCAAAGAGAAGATATGGATCACGTTAAAAGAGATTTGTTTTCGCAGTAGTAAAATCGATTGATTCGTTTGAGGTACGATATTATCGTCCAGTATTCGATGAATTTTGTGACAATCCAACGCTCTACCATGTAAGTACGTTCGTAACTTTGGTTGGAATGTCGCTAACTGGGTATGCAAATACCCATGTCCGGTACTTATGCATTGGCTGTGAGTGCCATTTAATGGCATTACAAACTTGAAACCCGGCTTGCGCGCTTCGAATGCACGCATTTCGTTTCTTCTTTTTTATCTATTTATTTATTTTCGATTTATTAGTGTACACGTTTCATCGTTAATAATTCTTCGCCATTTTTCATATAATTAATTTCACATAATATTAATTCAACTTAATTAATCTTAAACCACTTAATCTACACAAGTACACGCGCGAATTAAAATCAATGTTTTAATTAAAATATTTTAACCCTGACGGATCTATTATCCATTTCTCCTCCAATTTTATTAGCGAAAAATAATTGTCAATAACCAAATATTTATAACAGAGCTGGTTGAAAAAGTTAAACCAAGTTAAAATTACTTTTTAAAGTAATTATTAAAATACTTTAAAATTATTCAAAATTATTTAAAATTAAAATTACTCGTTAAAATACAATACTTGAACAACATTTATTCGTAGCTGCTATAACTGATTCGCTTTTCCAATATAACCATTACAGTCATTATTATCCCGTTTTTCGGAACGATAAATTTTTTCCAATAAAAAAAATATCATTTCTATTCGCTCGTTAATAACAATCAAAATATAAACATAATGAATAATCTTTATTTTAAAACATTTTTCAAACGGTAGCTCGGTAGGTAGAAAACCACGTGTTTCGTTTCTCGAGAATGAAAGAAATGTGGCGCTTATGGGGATTACAATCTTACGACGGGTGCGTTGTTGCCATGTAAATCAGTCGACGAGACAAAAAAAAAAAAAAAAAGAGAAAAGAAAAAGGAGAACGTTTGAATGCAATCCACACACAGTATTTTGAAAACTAGGGTTTAACACCGTCTAAATCTCAAGTGGTTCCTCAAACAGAGCAACGCGTTGGATGTATAAGGAATTCGAGTCACGTTGCGTTATGCAACACTGTTACACACTCTCGAAATTCGCCGTTCTCAAAACAAACAAACGAAATAATCTCTTACTCTTAGCAAGTTTCGCGTAATAAATTATTTCGAATGTGTAAATATTAGCCGGTGTTCTAAAAAAAAACGTTTGAACGATAGTTGAAAAAAAACTCGAAAAAGAATCCGGAAGAAAAAAAAAAAAAAAAAGAAAAATATTTCCACGAAAATGAATTAATTTATTAATCGAACGAGAATTGTTACGAGTTTCGACGAGGCGCGAAGCGGTCGTGTCAAATATATAAACGGCGGCACAAACATCGATTGTCATTGATAATCAAAATATTAGATTTAACGGAGTCGCGCGGCAGACACGGAGCAGAACGGACGTGTTTCTCTCCGTTCCTCTCAAGAATATTGTATTGTTTAATAAATTAAATAATTTCGTGGAATAATAGTTTTTTAGTTATAAATTAATTAATTATTTGTAATTATTTTTTGTAATTTGTAATTATTATTAGTGAAAATTCTTTCTGCGCAAAATTTCTCCAATCTTTGAATATTTTTTTTTTTTTTTATTAGATATTAAGAAAATATTAAAGAATTTTACAATTTTTTAATTCGTTTCGAATAATTAGAAAATAACAAGCTTTAACTGCAGATTCGTGAGGTAATTTCGAGTAAAATTTTCCTTTGCGAAAACTATAATTTTTTAAGAAGTTATTAACAAACTCTCAATAGTAATTTACTTCTTTAATTCCCTTTTATCTAAATTTATAAAAATATATCTTATTTTCGTTAATTCTCCCAATTTTTAAAACTTTCTACTTATATATATATATTCGTTAAATTAATCCTGAATTCAACTGCTCGTTTCTTATCTCACAGATCTTTAAATTCTTCATTTAGATGGAACGACAATAGACTATTACTTACGTTATATTATTGTAGTGACAGAAATCGTTGCATAGAAATTGTGACTAAATCGAGCGGTGCAAAATGTCGTTTATTAATGCATTATGATTGCCTGTCAAATTATTTCACGCTCGTACAAAGCACTAAGTGCGTACTCAACGTTCCAACATATCGTAATACTTGAAACTTATTCAAGCAATATCGATTATTTCGTATCGAGTGAAACGTTTCAACGCGGATCGAACTCTCCATTTCTCCCCCATTTCATTATCAATAGTTCGTGTTTCCATATATATATATATATATATATATATATATATATTATGCAATGATATATTCGCGATATCTGTGTTAGAATTATTAAAGATCGGAGGGAAGAATAAAAATTATTGCATCGCGATGATTTTACGAAAATAATAATTTTTGGAGATAGAAAACTCTTCTTCGATATTTTCTACTTTTACTACTTTTTCTATTATACATATAATAGTTTGAAAAAAATTATATATTTCTCTATTTAAAATTAATTTCTCGCGCATCAGATTAGATACCTCGTTTCTAAATTTTTTAATGGCATATAATCTGGTAATTCGACAAAATTTGTAGTTGTAAAAATTTCAAAGTGTATAACAACGTCTTCGTAGTTCAGGATAAAATCTTATCTCGTGCTTAAGTATACTCTAACATAGCCTAAGTAAATACAATATTTACTTATAGACTGTCAAAAAAATTGTTAACACATTAAATATTATTACAAACATTATTGCAAATTGGAAACGTTCAATTCGCAAAATTTATAAATTGATACGATAAAATCGCTAGTCAGCAACACGTATCTACATTGGCATTTGAAATATCGAAGGGGCACGAGTAATTCGTATCTGTATATCGAGGAAATGGACGCGATGTATAACGAAGCAACCGTGCGCTCACTCGGATTTTATCCGTGATATATTTGTGTGCAGGGTACGCACGTGGTGAACACACAGGGTGCTGACCCCTCGCAACGGGGCGCTGCACAGCGGGGCGCCGGTGCCCCGCGCCTTTTACCTTGTTCCGCGTTTCCAACCCGACAAATTCAGTTTTCTAGGCGGTGCTGCTCTAGGTCGCGCGAGGTTGGCGCGTCAACGCACCGTGAAGGACGACTTCTTTGAATCTTTCCGCTGCTTTAAATCTCTCTCTTCCTCCGGAGAGAGGAGAGGCCCGGTCGCGTGCTTCCAAATTATTTTTTTATTACTCTGTGACGTTTGCCAATTTTAATCAAGGTTAATCAAGGTTTATTGATTATTTAGCAGATTATTTTCAAAAAGTTTGTTTTAATAAATAAAACGAATATTGAAAGAAAATTTAATAATGGGAATAAAGTTAGTTAAAGATAATTTATCGTTCGAAAATAATGTGATAATAATGATTGTAGTGGGTTACATTGGAAAAGCGAATCAGTTATAGTAGTTAATATAATAATAATAAATGTTTAAGTATTTTAATTACTTGAAAATTAATACGTCCTGGAATTGCATCCACTTTAATTCCTAATGATGGGATAGTTCATGAATGAATTACATCTGTTGAAGTAGTAATTAATCGTAAAGGAATTCTTATTGGAATAATTATTCGAGTATCAAAAGTATTGAAGAGTAACTTTACTCGAAATTTTTAAGTAGTTTAGCTCTTTCAGTTTGGGTTAATGGCAGCAATTCAGAAATGATATTTTTTTTATTGAAAAAAAATCTATATTATTTAATAATCTTTTTAATATTAGATTCGAGGTAAATTTATCGATAAGATTTATCATTATGGGCAATATTATTACAGTTATTACCCATAAATACTATAGTTACATTGATATAACTATTCATAATTATTGTTCAATGAATATATTATGAATTTTATTAATACCATTTATTATGAATATCGCTCGTAAACTATCTAATTTTTTATAATAACAAAACATGTTCCATTTATTGCATCATATTCGAAAGAATAAAATTTCGCGAAAGTAAATTAAATGTTTAGATAATGATGGAAAATTTTTGATTTGAATTATTGATTTAAAAAAAAAAATCGAATGTTTCAGGTGGCGACTCACTTGGTCAAAGTTCGATCATACTTGGAGGTATCACGTAAGTATATATGTATTTCTCAATAACGTAAACACTTGTGTATGAATATCAATTCATGAATTTTTCTTGTATAAATAGTTGGGAACTATTTACTTTCCCAACTATTAGGCATTCAAAAAAATTGTTAACACCGGGAGAACAATTTTCATTTAAACATATGTCCAAAAATATCTGTTAAAATATTTAAAGAATGAATCCATTTATGTTTCATTTCTTCATTCATAAAAATATAACGCGATTTGCATAAACATGTTGTTTAACAAATTCCAAGAAAAGAAGAATTTTAACATTTCGCAACGAGTGGATTGATCGAACAACGTTCGGTTAAAAAAAAAAAGTAGACGTGATGACACGAAAGCAGATATTTTTTTTTTTTTTTTTGACGAGTACAGATGATTCCTTTTTCTCATGAAAAGTGAAAGCAGCATTTTTTGTCGAGGGATATCGAAATATCGTAATATTGGAATTAAGCGGCCCATTAATTAGTAGGCAAATTAAGGGTAAACATTTGAAAATCGTTGGAATTTTTTCATTCTTTCTTTTTTCTTTTTTCTTCAAGGGCCCACACGTGTGATGTCTGCATGTCATTCTAAACTTACCAACACCATCGCAATGCATCGCGCACAGAGACACGCGTGAATAACGTGGCTGTTACCACTTAACACACATTTTCACAAGTCGAGCCCCACACCGGTGATTTATAATAAATTCCCTTAATGAACCTGGTCGAGAACGAACGGTGTGGACACTCGAAGCTTTTCTTTTTTTTTTTTTTTTTTCCAACCTCTCCCTCCCTCCCTGAATAAGATATCACGTTTTTTCCCCCCTCCTATCTTTATGTCTTTTTCTCTTTTCTCTCTCTCTTTCCATCTTTTTTTCCTCTTCGCGAGAATCGGAGGTGAGTTATTGGAGTAACGAGTAACGTCAGAATAAAATTTCGAAAGGGCGCGCTTTTTCGACAAATTTTTCAATTAATGTTTCGCGTAAATTAGATGCAGATGTCGATAAAAAAGGGACGATTTATATATTACGGATTTTGGATCGTCGTATGTGCTTCATCGATTTATATTCTGGGTCGAGATAAAAACTTATCAGACAAATTTTGTTTCAATTTAACGTATCCTTCTTTCACGTTAAATCGAAGCAATAATTTTACATTTTATCTTAATTTAATTTTTAATAAATTTCGTCAATAAATGTCTGATCTGTTTCCTTTGCTAATATCTATGCGATTTCGATCATTCGATTCCTTTTTTGAAATTTACCCACGTCGTAAATTCGTTTTTGGATTCGTTCTCACGCGTAAAATAATTTATTATTCGTCAAGTTGACGTTAAAACGGCGTCTTCGATCGCGTTGCATGTCGAAACAAGGGCATGATCTACGATTCAAAATTAGTTCCAGTTTGGCTTTGATTCCGAGAAATTCTTGGCAGCGCGCGAGACGCCCATTTTCGAAACGGGTTCGTTTTAATATTTTTGCACGTCGGACTGCAAAAACCACTTTCGATCACGATTGTTGATTCTTCGTTATTCAAATTATCGTGTCAAATACTTGCCAAGAGATAAATAAGCGGAGAAAAGAGTTGACCATTGAGCTATGAAGAGCAATAAATTTTCTATTTTCTACTATCAACACGGATAATATACTTTCCAAGGAAACTTTCTTTTTCTCGCGATTTATTCGCCGTCTATTGTTTAATTTATCGTTCTGCGCGTTGTTTCTTTTTTTTTTTTTTTTTTTTTTTTTTTTTTTACAGGCATCTTTTCTCCACAACACGATGCATATATTAATATATACACATAAACATTATTGCCATTGTTTCTTCCCGTTACGCGGGTTATAAAACGTTCGAACATTGAATATTAAGAAAGTTTTACAAACAGAGAAAATACTTAATTCGAAGAAGAATTAATATTTGGAATTAATATTTAATTTATATTCTATATTTTTTTTTTCATCACCATTTTTCTTTTTTTCTTTTTAATTTAAAAAAATTCAATGACGAAACGAGCAGAATTTTTTAGAAAAATTAGAACCAACCTGTGAAAAGTATATTAATAAGAAAGAAAGAAAGAAAATAAGAAAGATGAAAGTTTTACAAACAGGGAAAATACTTAATTCGAAGAAGAACTTGGAATTAATATTTAATTTATATTCTATATTTTTCTTTCATCACCATTTTTCTTTTTTTCTTTTTAATTTAAAAAAATTCAATGACGGAACGAGCAGAATTTTTTAGAAAAATTAGAACCAAACCGTGTGAAATGGATCCGTGTGAAAAGTATATTAATAAGAAAGAAAATAAAAATAAGAAAGATGAATCAAAAGGAATATTAAAATAATCCAATAATTCTTTTAAATTTTGCGAATTTAACGAAGAAAAAGAATTATTTCCATTCCAAACAAATTTATATCTCACGTCGCGCGCGAGGGTTATTTATTCGCGTATAGAATAAAGGGTTAAACCGCATAATAAATCTTCTTCAATAGTTTTTTAAAACGACGGCTGTTTACCTCGAGGACGAAGCGTCGGAGCAGAAATTTCCCTGCGAGAGCACATGGCAGCAGCGCGAATCGTGTGGCGTGACACGAAATGGGATCAATTAGGGACGCTTCTTCCCGCCAGATACAAAGGGTGGGGGGTAAGAGGGAGGTGCTTTCCTTTCTTCTTTTCTTTTATCCCCCTTGCGAATTTCGCCATTGCGCCAGAAGGGGGCCTCGCGCCTCTCACCGCCCACAATCCTGTCGACTGTCAGAACTGTCAGTGTTTCGTGTGTCGGTCGGCATGCTTGTTTTAATCACCAGCCTCCTCCTCTCCCCCTCTTCGCACTCTTCCCTTTTTTTTTTTTTTTTTTTCTTTCCTACTCGCATTTTTTTCACCTTCCCTCCCTCCTTCCCTTCCCGACGTGGGCCTTTTTGATGGAAGTAATTAGTATGTTCCGTGTGAAATTAGCATGGATCCTTTTATATTTAACGGGAATTAACGTCACGAGTTTATTATTATAAATGCAAAGAGAAATATTGGTAAATTTGATTCTACTAAATCAAATTTAATTCAATTTTTCAATTATATGTATATATATATATATATATTTAAAATGTTAATGTTAATTTTTAAAGTTTGGTATTTAGAAAAAAGCGATTAAAAAACATTTAAATTTAAATTTAAACGCCAACTTTCATCGACTCTCTACAATAATAATTCCCTAACATGCACGGAATACGAAACGGAAGTTAATCCGTTCTTTTCAACATCCTTGGCGTTCCCTTTTCAACGTCGTAATAATTAAATTGTAAAATATACAATTTGCAAACGCAAGGAATTTCCATATGCCTCTATACTATGTGTGGCCATAAAAGAATCGTAAAAAAATATATTTCTCTTTCTTAATTAAAAATTCGAAGTATCGTTAAGGTATTGTTTCAAAGAATGACGATTGGAGGGTCATTCAAAGTTAAACACGTTTTACATGTTGTGCCACTTGCGCAAATTTCCTTGTATTTCTTTCGTGTTTCAACGCGCCGTTTGACAATGTTATAAACTGGCTTCTTCGTTTAAACCGCATTCAACACGGATTTAAGCTGGTTTCCTCGAAAGGTGAGTTGGTGGGACACTTTCTATTTAGGCGATTCAAGTTTCAAAAAATTACGGAACGAATTCAATCCTTACTTTTTACCTTCCCTCTTAGATGCTCTTTACTCTTATATATATATATGTATATCTCGTCCCACGCATTTTTTAAAATAATCTCGGATAACGGATCTCGTTTCGATGATTTTATATCCACGATTTCTTTTTTTTTTTTCTTTCTTTCTTTTTTCTTCGGCTCAACACTTCTCGAATCTGGACGTTATCTCTCGATCGAAATAAATAATCGAAGCGAATCAAGGCAATCGTGAAACATTTCTTTTTTTTTTTCTTTCTTTTAATCCTCGTCGAATAATTATCACGTATGAATTGCTGATAATTATTTTAATTAAGTAAGCCAAAGGATGAATAATTCATTCGTTGCAAGGGATATATATAAAAATGGTGAAATGTTAACGCGTTATCGTTCTCACATTTCTCATGTGTGTGCATTTAACATTTTAAAAAAAACGAGAGATAAAGATATCGAGTTTTTGTTACTCCTATGAACGTTCTATTTTAATCTTTCCTTTTCAATCAATACGATGTAATAAATTTCCCCTCTCCAAAAATTATCGATAAAATTCTACGATAAATTTCGGAGATTAAAATCTCGCAAAATATAAACCGCCATGTCTCGAATATTTTTACTCGAATATAAAAATATAAATATAAAAGCGACGCAAATAAAATAAAATACTCTTCCCTTTTCCTTTTCCCCCAAAAAATTAATCGCATCTTCGAGTATACCCCCTCGCAATTAAATCGATCCTCCTTTCAAGAGAAGGGATTATTATCCGCGCCTGTAGTCGAACGAAAGGAAAGCTAATCCTTGGAACGGAAGAAGGGGAGAGTTAGCGGGTTCACTAACTCGAAACAATGGGACTCGAAGGTAAACACGACGTTTCCCTGTCCTGAATCTCTGTTTGGTCTTTGCTTCGCTTTTTTCTCCAGCTCCTCCTCCTCCTCGAGAAAATCTACATAATTACTGTGTGTGTGTGTGTGTGAGTGAGAACCGACCACCGCGGCGGTTAGCGCCACTCGAGGACCCTTTCTTCCTCCCTCTCCCCTCGAGAGATATCTCACAACCCTTTCCAAGGGTTTGCTTAGGCGGCCGATCTTTTGTTTCTTCTCTGTCTCCCGGAGGGATGCGCTCTTATCTTCCTAAGGAGAGGTGCTTCCCGAATTCATCGAAAGGATACACGAGTCGAGAGTGTGAAGGTGGAATTTTTTGGGGTATCGAAACGTGAGAACGATAAATAATCGAGGCGTGGAGAGAGAGATAGTTGGTGGAGAAGAGGTAGTTGGGTAATGAATAAGATTTGATTCCTCTTCCTCGAAGAATAATTTGATTCGAAGGTTTTTGTAA